TGTGTTGGTCAAAGGAGATGAAAACAGAAGCATTTATTACTTTCAGACCTGGAGGGGAGAGGACAGTGAGACGGTACAGGAACCACAGGCAAGGCAAGCACACTTGCTCCTGTAGGTGGTAAGCAAGACCGGAAGCAAGGACCTGAGGTCAGAGCTTTTACTTAGCTCCAGGGTGTTACCTAGGAACCTTCCCTGCAGAGAGCAGTGATTGATAGGTTTAGAGCCTCGTGCTGAGACTGAGTGGGGATCACTGCAGCCTGTCTGTACAGCACATTCAGCGTGGTTGGGTCTAGAGGGTGAATCAAGTTACTCATCCACCACAAGGAGGGGGCAGAGCTGGCCACTGGGAAGCAGTTGTGTAAGATTGTTTTCTGAATCAACCACATTGAGAACTAAGAACCAGACACTGTCAGAGTCACCACGCCCTGCTTTAATATGAAATGCCCAACTTATATTGAAAATGAATGCAGAGGTGACGGGAAATTTAAAACTTTCGCAACAAACCAACTTACGGTGAAGGTGTTTATGACCCATAGACATTCACATTGCTTCCTATAATTCACTGCTACTACCTAATGTTGCTCAATAAAAATAACACTTCATGCCGGGCACTGGTGACTCACGCCTGTAATCCTAGCTATTCAGGAGGCTGAGATCATGGTTCAAAGCCAGCCTGGTCAGGAAAGTCCATGAGACTCTGATCTTTAGCTAACCAGCAGAAAACTGGAAGTGGCACTGTGGCTCAAGTGGTCGGTAGAGTGCTCGCCTTGAGCTGAAGAGCGGACAGCGGATAGCACCCAGGCCCAGAGTTCAAGCCCCACGACTGACAAAAATAAATAATAAATAGCACTTCATTTTGGAGGATTAGATTCTCAGTTTGGAGGTTTGAGGGTTGCAGTATGTTTAGCTTTTAAGTTGAGCAGTTATTGCCAGATTTATATGACTAGAAAATGTCACAGTAGTATAGATTGTTTTGTTTTTAGCAGTAAAAGAAAGCACCTTTTTTTTTTCCCCCTGATTGTCCACCAACAGTATTCCTTGCTCTATAGATAACAGAGCAGGTCCTGACTAGTGCAGCACAATGCCTCTGGGCTAGAGATCCCTAAAGTCCCTTCCACCTTCCAGGTTTGAGGATTCTTTAGGAACACTCAGGACTCAGTATCTGGTTGTGCTCATGATATGATTTATTACAGTGAAAGCAAAGCAGGCAAACACAGCATGAGCTTCTGGTCAGCTTTGTGGGTGGAGCCATGCAGGACACACTGGTCCTTCCAGCTGCAAATGAGACAGCATTGGTTAGATACTGTCTTCCAGGGAGCTCATCAGAGACTCAGTGCCCTGTGACCTTACTGCAGAGAGGCCACCTACACACGCTCTTGCTGGGGAAAGTACCAAGCCTCTAAGCTTCTAGAAGGAAAGCAGGTGTTGGGATAAATCACAGTGCTAAAAATCAGTCTCACCAAATCTTCAGTTCCCATAAGCCTGCTAGCTTTAGGCTTTGCTTTTCAATATAATTCACAAATCATAGCATTTTCCCATTTGAAGGCTACAATGTTCCCAGAAACTTACATTTCATTGCTACAGTTTCAGAACCTTTTTATCGCCTCAGAAAGAAATCCTGTATCATTTAGCTATAGCTCCCCTTCCCAACCCTAAGGTCCCCACTTTACTCCTAAATAACCATGCCACAGATGTATGTATTGTCTGCCTGTCTGTGTCTGTAGATTTCTCTGGCTCTGGATATGTCATGTAAATGACATATAATCTGTGGTCTTTTGTGACTACCTTTGACTTTGCATGTTTTCAGTGTTCATGCATGGTATGCCATATATCAGTACTTTGTTCTTTGTTATGGCTGAATAATACTCTATTATATGAACATACACACGCACATACACACATAAGAGTTTTATTCATCAGTTGCTAGGCATTTGGGTTGTTTTCACTTTTTGGCTATTACAAATAATGCTGTGTTAGCTGTGTTGTGCACATCCACCCAAATATTTATTGAAGGAATAAGTATAGGATTGTATTTTTATTCTATTCATCATTAGTCTTTTCATCATGTTATTCTTTTGATACATTGGTAGATTGTGTGCTGGTGTTTTGTGAGTAATATTTTGCATTTATAATCGTCACGTTGGTTGGTAGTTTATCACCTTTTGATATTAGCTTCTTGAGATGATGTGAGGTTACTTTGTATTTTATTTTCTCTTGCAGCCTGCAATAATAATTCAACATTTGGAGGGAACAGTTCTTTGATAAAATTGGACTTTGAGTCATCCAGGTCCAGACACCATTTTCAATGAGAAACCTTTTTTGTCTCCCCACCTTGTCAGTTTCTTTCAGTTTTATACTTTTTCTTGGATTACTGTTGTTCATTTGCTAGGAAATTACTGATTTCTTTAGATTTTCGATATTATTTCTGTAAGATTTTAGTGGTATTCTTTAACAGTTGTGGTTGCCTCTCTATCTGACCCCTTCTTTTTTATTATCGCTATTTCTATTTCTTTTTTTTTTTCTTTCTTTCTTCATCTAGCTTGTGAAGATTTTGTCTGTTGTCATTAGCTTTTGGCAGATTTAGTTTTATTCCCTCCGTCTCAGTCAAAGTTCCACAGTTTTTGTTCTTGCCTTCCTCTATGTTTGGATATTTTAAATGTATCTTGTTTGCCCTGGGTTTTTCAGTCTAATTCTGAGAAATTCTCAATCCTTTATGGACGTAGTTAGGCTTTATTTTTTTCTTGTGTTTCCAGGAATACTATCAGGTAGATATTTCTAATTTTAGATTTTATCCAAGCCTCTTAGCTTTTAAAAACACGCTGTGTTTTCTGTGTCTATTTCTTTTTTAGTGTTTCATAGGAGAATTTCTTGAACTGAACTTAGTGCTCACTGATGTTTTCTCCCCCTTTGTTCAGTTTGCTAGTTAAGTCAATATTGGATTTTTTTTATTTCAGTAGTTATTGAAAAAAATCTATCTGTGCTCATTTGGAAGATAGGATAGCTATTTAAATTTGTCTCTTCTTTACTCTTCTTGTTACCTGTGTCACACAAGTCACTTACGCTCTATTGTCGTGCTTACTACATGTCTGGTTATACTTTCCCCGGAAGACTGTGTTATGGGCTAGTCACATTTACCTGGGGAGAAGGGTTAAAATCCACACTCTGACTAGTCAGCAGCTGATCTCAAGAAGTGGGGTGTAGTGGTGGTGGAAGGTTTTGAATTGAGGTGATGAAATTTAAGAGCTGATTCCGAAGTGGCACTTTCTGTTGCTTGAGTTAGAGGCGGGATGTTCTCCAGGTCATTCTCCATGTAATGCGGTGAGGGCAGGACCCAAGGGGGCCGTACACTTCACCAGTTCTCTGTAGCACTTCCCAGACTCCCCAGGATGTCCAGATCGGACTCCTGGTAGGGTGCAGATTCTCCGAGGTGGAAAAGGCTACAACAAGAAAGGTGTTTCGTGGTCTCTCCATCCCACAGATGCTATTTCCTTCTCCCTTCAGGAAGCCCATCACTTTCAGTGTCCCCAAAGTTCCTCCCTGCTTCTTCATAGATACTTTTATTTTGTATAATCTCCAGGGTTGGGCGGGAGGGAAGTAACACAATATTGTTTAATTATCAGTTTGTGTCTATGTCCCTCACCAACTAAGCTCCTAAAAGGTAGGAGTTGATTTGTTGAAAGAAGACCCTTAAAAAAATCCTCATGAAGGCTCACAAGCCCCTGTGTCTCTGTCTCTTTAATCTACTCTGCTCCTTGTCAGCCTTTCTCCTGCCACTTCTTCACTATAGCAAGTATGGTCCAGTATCACTGTCCGGGAATTCCTCTCCTTGGGTGTTTTTTGTTTGTTTCTCTCCTTCCAATCCTGTGTAGGTTTAACCTTTACTATCTTACGTAATAGTACAAGCGGTCCTGTATTTCATATATGCCTCCCATCCCACGTTTTCCCTTAGTGGTTTCACTGGCTTTTACCGCATACTCTTGTAGTACACTTTGCAATTTAATATGGTGTCATCATATGTGATATTGTCTGGTTTTCCTCATTATATTAAAAACTGTGGTAGTACATGGCTCAAAAAATGTTTGTTGAATGAAAAAAAAATGCAGGAAGGAGCCAAGCACTATTAGCACATGCCTGTAATCTCAGTAGCTCAGAAAGTTGAGATTTAGAGGATTGTGGTTTGAGGCCAGTTTGGGCAGAAAGTTAATGGGACCTCATCTCAACCAACAACATGATGTGGTGGTACATGCGTGTCATCTTAGCTGTATGACAGGTTCAGGCCAGCTGGGAAAAACTTGAAAACCTGTCTCAAAAATAAGCAGACCCAGAGAGTTAGAGATGTAGCTCAAGTGCCTAGCATTGATGAGGCCTAGAGGTCAGACCTTAGTACTCCAAAATAAAATAACAAAAATACAGGAGGAAAATTGAGTTCATTTAGCAAAACTTTATTAGTTAATATTTGATAGTATTTAATTTAGCAGTTTAACATTTAAAGGTTTATTAAATCACAAGCATGCATTGTAAACAAGAAGGAAATTGTGTTTACTAAGATTTTTTTAACAAATGGTTCTTTTCCATTCTTATTCTTGTTGGTTTATGTAAAATCAGACCTTCTTGGGAAAAAATGATTTTGTATAGCGGATACATAATAATACAGAGTATATGTATGCAATGGTTTAATAAAACAATTTAATGTTGACATATATTGTATGCCACTTGAGATGTAACTTAGTTTACGTTTGTTTTGTGCAATATTTTCCTAATGATACCATTCTTTGAACATTGCTGTCTTTGATTAGATAGTAATTAATGTCATATTGACATTTAAAAAGCTTAAATGATGAAGTAATATGCCCATTTTCCTATTTCAGGATATTACTAGTTCTAATCCTTTTATAATGCATTTTAATTCTATGTTAAAATATTTGTGTTCAGGTAATAAAATAGGAATGTTCTTGGTCAGTTTTGATTTTTTATTTAAACATTTCTTTTCTTTTTTGTAGATTTGCTTTGAGGTCACATTGATATGAAATGTGGAGTCACCTGATAACGTCACCTGGGAAAGAGACAAACTTCTTTCTTATTAAAAAACCATAAAGAAAACAAATGCCCTGAGGAATCATGCCAAATGCTCAATCTACATATTTTTGTATCATTAATATGTATTTTTTAGCCAATCAAGACCTATGATTTGTATGTTAAAGAAAACAAACGGTTCATCAATATTATTTTTAGCAGTTTTTAAAAGACTACTTGATCATTGTGTACAGATCTTGTGTAAGATTTAACATATAAAAATTTGCAAGGCCTTGCTTTTAGAGTTCAGCTTCAACATTTACTTGTTCTATTTTCTGCTTGCCAAAGTCTTCCAAAATTTTAACACTAAGAAAGTTATGGACTTGGAAACTTACATTCCTGCAATAGACTGCAGTGACTTTCAGTGGACAATTCAAAACATCATTCATTTTACCGTCCAAAATACCACATAAGCATAGAATTCTTAGTTTTAATGCGAACAAAGTTGCTTGAGAATGGCTTGGGTGAAATTCTTACGGAAACCTGGTGGCAATCTTGGAAAAACTTATCAAGCTGGAAGTATGCTGTCGCTGGCCCCTACCAAAGGCTTGTTAAATGAACCAGGGCAAAACAGCTGCTTTCTTAATAGTGCGGTGCAGGTGAGACCCTAACTACTTCTGCTATTTCAAAGTATATTTTAGGAAATCCATTGTATAATGTTTCTTTGACTTTTAAAGTAAGACAAAGATCTTAACTAAAAAGCCTTTTTTTTTTTCCCCTGCCAGTCCTGGGGCTTGAGCTGTGGGTCTGGGCATTGTCCTTGTCCCTGAGTTTTTATGTCAAGGCTCTTCCACTTCAGCTCCACTTCCAGCTTTTTGTGTTTAATTGAAGATAAGAATCTCCCAGACTTTTCTGCCTAGGCTGTCTTCAAACCATGATCCTCACATCTCAGCCCCCCAAGTAACTAGGATTTCAGGCATGAACCATTAGTGCCTGGCTCTAAAATGAGTTCTTAGTATCACTTTTAATGGTGACAAACACTTTGGCTGGACATTTTGGTTTTTATAATAACTAGAAGTGGAGTTTTTCAACAGGATGATTCATTGCCTTAATGTAAAAATAAACCTTATTTAAAATGTTTACTAAATGAAGAATATGTTTCTTAAAATGTAAACTGTCTGTGTTTTAATTTGTTTCCATGTCCCTCCACTGAAACCCAGTGTATATCTCACTAGGCATGATAAGGAAGAAAGAAACTACTTGGATTAAAATAAGCAGGCAGAATATTTTTTAATTTTATATTATTGTAAAGATGCTGTACAGGGGGGTTACAGTTACATGAGTAAGGTAATGAGTACATTTCTTGTTGAACGTCATTACCCCCTCCTTTGTTTTTCTCCAGAATATTTTTATCTTAGTACTTTATCCCTTCACCTTCCACTACATCCCTCAGGTTACCTCTGGAATAATCATTTGACCATTATTATTTAGGATAAATGGAAGATTAATCCACTGGATTCAAACTGTGTTGAAATTCTTTTAGTTAACGAGTGTATATTAAGCTACTTTTCTGCCTTAGACTTCCTTGTGTATAATATGGCTTTTCTGTATCAGTTCCAATTTTTATCCTCCTAAAAACTGACAGTAGGTAGAAATATTGCTTACTTTATTAATAAATAAACCCATATAGAGTATGTCAAGTGCTCACACATCTGATTCAGACATTGTTCTCAGGTGTCCTTTTCCTAGACAGGTAGGACTTGACAAGTGGTATTGGAAAACAGTGATGCTAGTTTACTATAACATCCTTGAGTGGCAGTCAGTGTTTGGCTCAGGCTTAAAGATCCCACTAGTGTATGTAATGCCAGAGAAAAATATTTACTGAATTAACACTGTATATAAGGAAACAGCAAATGCCCAAACCTGGACTTAAATGTTTTTGAGTGAACCAGGCAATCAGAAAGGGTTTTTCATATCAGGGCTTTTCCACTCACATTTTTCCCTGTTTCTTTTTCTTTAGGTCTTATAATACTGTAGTTAGTTGAGGGGGAAAAAAGCATATTACAACATAAGATAATCCTGAGTAAGGAAGATATCACAGTAAAACAATTGTAGTATTCTTTAGGAAGTATATATATCTATATATTATATATATAATATATATTATATATAATATATATAATATATATTATATATTATTACATATATAATATATATTATATTATATATTCATTTATATGTTATATTCATATATATTATGTATATATTCATTCCATAGGCTTCACCCAGATGGTACCCATCACTCAGGTTTGCTCCACGTTGCCCTCTAGCGCCCTCTGCTTTAGCATTCTTTTAGTATTGGCCTCTTTCTGATGAGCTGTTTTACCTCTTGTATGTCTGAAAAAAAAATTGTTTCTGAAAGATACTTTCACACAATAAAAGGGCCTCCTGACATTTTTTTTTTAGCTTGCATTATTTCTAATGAAAGCATTATTCTTTGTTTTTCTGTATGTAACATTTCCAATTCTGGGAGTTTTTTCAAGAGTTTCTTCTGATCATTGGTTTAAAATGATCTAATTATGATTATCTTGACACAGTTTTTCTTCATTTCTCTCATCTTTGGGTTTGATGAGCATGTTGTATCTGGGAGTTGGTAATTTTCATCAAAGTTGTCAACTCTTGACTATGATTCCTTAAAGTAATTACATCATCTGTCACTTCCTCTGTGGGACTCCAGTTACATGCACAGTTGTTTGTTTGCAATTGTCCAAGGCTCACTGATGGTTCTCTTCATCTTGCCTGGTCTTTTTTTCCATTCCATTTTGTGTGGTTTCTGTAAGTATATCTTCCGGTTTATAGATCTCTTTTGTAATGTCTAAGCTGCTATTTTTTAAAAATCTTAGACTGTAGTTTTCATCTTTAATTTGATAGGAGTCTTAACATCTTTTTCATGTCTCTGCTTAATAGGTTCAGTCTTACTTCTGGCTTCTAAAGTATGTGAAATAACCATTGTAATCATTGTTTTCTTGTACTTCTATACTATGTTTCCCTTTATCTAGTATTTTCCAGTTCTTCAGCTCAGTGCTTGAATCTGTTCCCCTTGCTTGCTCGGCTCCCATTCTCCCACTGGAGTCACAACCGCTAGCCCTTCTTTTTACTGGCTATTTTGGAAATGAAGTCTTATGGACTTCTCTGACCAGGCTGACTTCACATCAGAATCCTCCTGAGTAGCTAAGATTACAGCCATGAGTTGCCAGTTCTCAGATCCCATTAGCTCCTATAAATGTTGACTGAGTTTCCATTTTGGACTTTTTTATTTTCTGCATCCTAGACTATATTTTCTTTTTCTTTAATGCTTGGTTAGAAATCAAATTTTGCCTTTGTACTCATAATATTTTTGTATTCCTAAAAATAATTGGGAACTTTATTGTGGGACTGGATCAATTTATTTGGAAATAGCTTGGCCATTTTACTTGTCAGCTTTACTGGGCTGTAATAAGAGTTACATTGTTAAGATGAGCTTATCTTTTCAGAGCCTTCAAGTTTTCTACGCTGGCTGTTGGGCACAGGCCCTGTCCTAGGCCTCTGTGAGCTCTGGATATTGTATACTGCCATTCTTTAGGGTGTTTGTTGCCCGTTTGGGTAATTTCCTCACAGTACTTACTAGAGGCCCCTGTGCAGGTCTATGGCATTGGCTCTGTGTGGCTCTGGCCTCTGCAGGGCTCAGCTGCCAACTCCCACAGCTTTGGGGTGTCTCCTGCCCTCCATGTGAAGATGTCTAAGGTGATTTTCAGATGCAAGCCTTACTGACAAAACTGTTCAAACAGACTTTTCTGTCAGAAAATGACACCATTATAAAAAAAAATCAGTATCAATTTTAATATGAAATTTGGTTAATTATTTTTAAAAGCAGAACTGTGAAGAACCTCAGTGAAAGCTATTGCTAAGTCTGGAGTTTGGGGTGAGAGAAAGAGAAATGGGCTCTGTTGGTAGGGTAAGTACCGGTAGGAGGGGATTAGGTTAAGGAGAGCAGGGAATAGGTTGGTATTGTCGAAACAGGAGGTTCCTATTATGAACATAGAACAAGAACACCAATTGAAATGTTAGGAAGAGAGGAAGTTGGGGATGGGCAATGATAAAAGAGGTGAGATTAATTACATTGTATACATGAGTAGAAATGTTGCAGTGAAAATCTCAGCTTATGCTATTTTTTTTAATGCTGAGAAATAAATTGCAAAATACATCTTGTAAGAAATTATAAATTTCAGAAGCAGACATTATTAAAGTAGTACAGGAATAAGTCAGAAAAACGAATTTATATGCCATTTCTCATAACTTAATTTTAGCTCCTTTTTGTATTATGCTGAACCAAGGAATGTTAGCAAAGATTTGTATTCCTTTACCTAATGCACGTGAATACATGTGTTTTAGACTAGTCAATATTTTGTGTAACTACTAAAAAGCATTAGGCTCCAGTATTGGCTTGTGCCTGGATAGTTCCAGCTATTTGGGAGATAGAGAGAAATGTAATTTGAAGCTAGCTTAGGGAGAAAGTTACTCAGACCCCCATCAACAGAGCTGGAAGTAGTAGAGCATGCCTGGGATTCTAGTTACCCAGGAGGCATAGGTAAGGGAGGTAGAGATCAACCACAGGCAGAAATATGAGACATCCAGAAAATAACTGAAGCCAAAATGGCCCGGAGATGTGGCTCATTTTGGTCTAGCAAATAATAAGCCAAAGAAATGGAGGAACCTATTGATTTTGTTTAGATTCTTGTTGAATTTGCTATGTGCAAATAATGAAAAGGAAATATTCTTTTTTTTTTTATTGTGAAAATACTGTACAGAGGGGTTACAATTACATGGACAAGATAATGAGTACATTTCTTATCGAGTATTGTAGCCTCCTCCTTTGTTTCCCCTTCCCATCAGGAAATATTCTTGAAAATGAATTAGTCCAACAAATGCTTGGAGTTTGTTTTTTTAAGTAGGTGGTGAAATATGCTCAACCTTTTAAAACTGAAATAGATTAAGTATTAATTACAAGTAGAATTATTTTGTGATAGAGATTTGTACTATTATGTTGAAAAAGCTTCGCACTATTCAATGATATACAGAGAAGTTTTCTAAAAATCACAAAATAATTTTCTATAGTTCAATCCAGTGTAACTTAAAATTTCTGATAGGAAAAGAAATTAAGAGTTGCATTTGAAAAACTTCACAAACCTTATAAACAGATTATAGGAGGCAGGCATATCTTATTAGCTGAACTCCTTTTAAACTTTTATCTGGTGAGAATATATTCAGTTAAGTTGGTTTGACATATGAGTATAGTGTTTAAAAATTCTCTAAGTTAGAAATTAAGTTGTATTTAATAATAAACAGTAGGTTCTTAGTATGTACTGTGTGGACATTATGTAGATTGTCAAATTTAATCTTTACACAAACCTAAGAGATAGGCACCATTGTCATCCTCAGTTTGTTAAGGATACTGAGCTGCAGAGAATATTGTGCCGAAATCAGTCTGAGAGCTGGTACAAAGTGAGGCAAGAGGTAGAACCCTGGATGTTGGTAACCTTCAGAGCCAATACCAACTATGGTGTTCTTTCAGTGTCCTTCATTTTCATCTTCTTCATCGAATTTATTTAAAATAGGTCTCAGTGTAATGTTTCAGGATATGCAAGGAAGTTACTAAACACTACCAAATACTTTGCAAAACACTGAGTCATTAATGATAAGCAAGTGATCTTACTATGCCTTAAAGAAAAACAACTTTCAAAGGGAAGTTCTGAAATGTCTTTAGCTATTGAGTGGTTGAAAATGTAAGGAACATGAAAATCAATTTGTTTTCATTAACCTAGGGAGAAGTAAGCAGTCCTAAATGGATTTCCTAAGTGATGTTATTTGAGGAAGTAACTAAAAGTTAAAAGGGAAACCTCGCAGTAGTACTAGCTTATTGTAATCATAGCTTGGGTTTGCTTTGTACTAATTTTGTGCCAGCCCCTGCTCTAAACACTTTACATATTATTATATATTATTCTTCACAGAAGTCTTGAGGCAGATACTATTATTGCCGTATATTTAGGCTTCACAGTTGATTTTTAGGAACTGCCACTTTTTTGGTTGCTTGTCCTCTTTTGTAGCAGACTGTTAAGGGATAATTGTAGTAAATGTATTCAGATTATTCCTTAGCTGCTGCTTACCATGCCATACCCCTTTTACCACACAGATTCTGTTTTCTCATTCAGTATACTATGACCACACACATGTCTGGCCACCCTTCCCTCCTGCCACAATGAGTTGACCTCTCTTTGGTATACCCAAGCTTTAAAGTCTAATTATATTTCCTTCCTAGACTTCAGCTTGTTCCAAGTATTACAATCACTTCCTCTTTCAAGTCTCTGCCAAGTCTTCCATTTAGTATCCCCTGGTTCCTGTTCAGAATAGATCCTTAACTGAGGATTTAGTTGTTTCTTGCTCTAGCCCAGCTTGGTTTTTCATGTGAATCAATACAAATGTCTTCTGAATCCATCTTTGATACATATACAACATGTATGTAATAGTTTTTATATGCATATATATATATGTGATTATGTACAGGAAGTTTCAAAGTTACTAACATTCTGCAGTTTTTAAAATGTCTTAAGTCGCCATTTGGCACAATGAGGAAATTTTAATTGTTTCTTTTTCCTTCACACGTGTTTCTTAGGTTTTATGGCAGTTGGATATATTCAGACGAAGCCTGCGAGTTCTGACTGGACATGTGTGTCAGGGAGATGCCTGCATCTTCTGTGCATTGAAGGTAACTTGAATTATCAATCGTTTTCCCCAAGTTTAATTTTTCCAATTGATGTATCTGGTCAGATTTTTTGTAATTATAATTTATTATCAAGTGATTTATTGTTTCAAAGATGAATTTTTGTTTGAATTCAGGGCATTATATTCTCACTTAGCTAGCTTACTCATGGTTGGTGCTCTTCTACTTGGGCCACAGGGGTTTTTTCTGTTTTTTTTTTTTTTCTTCTGGTTATTATAGAGATGGAATCTCAGGGACTTTTCTACTTCAGCTGGCTTCAAACTGAGATCCTCCAGCCTCATCAGGTGCTAGGATTACAGGTGTGAACCATTGGTGCCTGACTTTAAAGATAAATTCTTAAATGCATGTTCAGATATATGTGTTTATCTTCCACTTAGGTATAAGAAAAGTGAAAAAATAGCTTAACTATTAGCATCTTTTTTTATTTTAAAGTAATTGTTTATCATTTTGACAAATGGTCAAAATGTTAGCTACCACTAGGTCTGGGTGCTGTTGTCTTTCCTGATGAGCAGACTTGATAAAAATCTCTGCCCTTCAAAGCTCAGGAGGCTGAACCAGGTGGCTTTCAAGTTCAAGGCCAGCTTGGGCTACCTGGTGAGACTTGTCTCAAAGAAAGGAAGAACTCCCCATTTTCAAGGAGCTTGTATTCTTACTGAGAAGACAGTAAAGTAAGGAGACTTTTACTCATGCTAGGTGATAGTGGCTAGGAGTGAAAAGCAAGTCAGGGGGAACGAGCAGGGAGTGTTGAGTGGCCAGAAGATCCTCAGTGAGAAAACATGAGCTAAGAGGCATTGTGGTAGAAGAGTTTTCCAGGATCTGAGCTTGGTGGCACATGACTGTAATCTTAGCACTTGGAAGGCTAAGGCAGGAGGTCAGCCTGGTCTACACAGCAAGTTCTAGGCCAGCTAAGCTGCCTAGTGTTACTCTGTCTTTAAAAAAAAAAAGTCTTCCAGGTAGATACAGCAGCAACAGTTGCCTTTAAGGTGGGAGTATACTCAGCATGTTCAAGGAACACCAAATAAATCCTGGCTGTCACAAAGCCAGCAGCTTTGTGAGCAGGGGAGGGAGTGCTGAGAGATGAGCTCAGAGGTATGGCAGGGCCTGCTGGAGATTTTAAGCATGTTTGCAGGGTGTTTTACATTTTTCCTCTCCAGAGTAACTCCTGAGCATGGCGAGCCACAGCCACTGATTGCTGACAGACAGAACTGATTCTGCAAGATACCTGAGTTTAGTTGATTAGCAGAAGTGATAGAGCTCTTGTGCCATCTCTTGGGGTTATTATTCTTGGAAGGCAGCTAGCATGCTTGGAGGAAGCCAAGTAGCCATGTGGAAAGGCCACATGTATCTTGCACTCAGCACCAGACGAAGTCTCAGCCAATAGCCAACTGCTAGCCACCTTCACATAACTCTAGGTCCCAGCATCAGACAGTACCTAATGGCAACAGTTAGAGCAGAGGAGCCATTCTGCCATATTTCAGATGCATAAGCAAATTATGGTGACCAAGTTTTGAGGTGATTGGTTCCAGGGCAGTTAATAACTGGGACAGGAGTTGAGACTCTGAAGACCTTCTATGTCTTTATGAAAAAATCTTGGCTTTTTCTCTGAGCAACTGAGGAAGTTTCAAGCTTGTTTAAAGTAGAGGAGTAACATAATCAGTTTGAACTAGATCCTTTTCACGACTGAGATGTGCATAGATAAAAGAGAAACGAAAACCAAAGGGGAGTTTGGTATGTATTAGCCATTCATTTTTGTCCAAGAATTTAAAGTTTTATTAACACATTTTAAATTGAACTCTACTACTTGAGCCACCTCCAGCACATATTTTATATATAAAAATTTTTATTCTTTTATATTCCTGAATATTCTTAATGAATATACATGCCTATTTAGGAAAATAGCAAAATATATTTATCTGCCTTAATTTTTTTTTATGTTCCTGAAAAGGTTGTTTGCATAAAACACCAAAAGAAATTTCGTAACGTCCTTTTCAAACATGGTTCAATAGTGCTATTGTTAGAGGATGAAGAATAAACCTGGATCAAATTGTGGTATCACATTTTATTTACCACACAGGAAACTGGGAGTGTTTTGCCCAATTTCAAAAATCAGAATTGCTCCGTGTTCCATTCCAGCTCTCTCATCACACTTCACAGTGGCCTGTCTGCCTGCTGTTTCCCCCTCTGCCTTTGTTTTTGCTTTCTCCCCACCAAAAAGCAAAACAAACAAACAAAACCCACCTTTCGCAAACATACATTGCCACGTCAGTCTCTCCTGCCTTCTCTCTCAGAGCTGGCTCCCATCTCCAAGTCTTTCCACTGCTCCTTTTGAGTGAAAAGCTTTTCTTCCAGCTGTCCTTGGGCCGACACCCTTATTTCCTTTCTGCTTGCCTTCACATGTTACTTTTTCCATCAGGCAGGCCTTCCCTCACTACTCTAGGTAAAAGGAAAATCATACTTCTGTGGCATTCTTCATTGCACTGCTTTACTTTTCTTTTGATTGCAATTCTTTATGTTGATCTTTTCTCCCATATCTTTACACCTTCTGCCACCTACTTACTTCTTGTTACTGTGATTATAGTGTAAGGCTCATAAAGTCAGGGGCATGTGTTTTCTAGAGTTAATCAATGCCTGACAGAGAATACTATTAAGCAAAGAAAGTATTACTCAAGGAAAAAGTACAAGAAACAGTCTTGTGTCCTATTAGTAGCTTAAGCTTCACCTGGAAAATTAATTTGCTAAAGAAGAGATGAAATCTGAATATTACTTATTCATCTTTTAGTATTTGTATTTTAAGCTATTACAATGAATAACATAATTATAATTTTGGATAATATCAACTGGCACTTTTGTGTCTTAGTTTCTTACATATCTTGCAAATTATGTTTTTGTGTCAGTACTGGGTCTTGAATTCAGGGCCTCTCTTGCTTGGATTTTTTGCTTAAGACTGGTGCTCTGCCACTTGAGTTACAGCTCCACTTCCAACTTTTTGCTGGTTTGGAGTTAGGAGTCTCTGCGCTGGGCTGGCTTCCTCAGAGCTCAGGCTTTTCAGTAGCTAGGATTATGTGTGCCCCTGACACTCGTCAATCCTATTGGTTCTGTGAGGTGGGTTGTCATTGAAAACCTTTGTTCCCTACTTTCTCTCTCATGAGATGATTGTCTTTAAACTGAAACTTACTAGAAAGTATTTTCCTTGCTTTATTTAGAGGGAAAATAGAAAGCAGATTCATACTTACTATCTCATTCTCAAATGTTGATTTAGTGATTTCTTAGAAGTAATTCGAGTGAGGAAAATTGGTAACTGGGGGAATGGGCTTTTCTTTAAAATTTAAAAGTAATCATTAGGTCTTCTTGTAAAATGTGCTTTTACATTTTATAAAGCAAATTTAGTGTAATAGGAAATAGTAAATATATTAAAGGCTTATTTTTTGTTTTTACTTTGTTAGTTTTTGACTTTTGCTTGGCCTCAAAAAAACAATCCTAAAAGTTCCTTTTGGTCAACTTTAACTTTTAAAAATAGTCTAGTGAATTCCTACCACTTTTTATGTGATTTTTTTGTACTTACCCTTGCCTGGAATGATTTAATATTTCCTATAGCATACTTTTACATTTAAAGCAACATATCAAAACTCTAGTCCTGCCTAGTGTCAGTGGCTCATGCCTATAATCCTAACTACTTATGAGGCTAAGATCTGAGGATTACAGTACAAAGCCAGCCGGGGGAAGGAAAGTCCGGGAGACTCTAATCTCCAATTAATCACCAGAAGATTGGAAGTGGTGCGTAGCTCAAGTGTTAGAGCACTTGCCTTTAGCGGAAGAGCTGAAGGGCAGTCCCCAGGCCCAGAGATCAGGCCCCGTGACCGACACAACAAACAAACAAACAAAAACCTCTGTTCCTTTAACAACCTCTCTGAGACTCTTCTGGGAACAGTTAGAGTGTTCTTTAATCAGTCATTGAAGGTGGATGTGAGAGATTTTGTTTCAGTTTTTATGCACTTACAGGCTGGGCCAGCTGACCCCATATTTCACTGACATGAGTAGTTTATTTTTATATAGATTGAGTGTAATATTAGTTTCTGTATTAGTTTCTAAGTAGAATGTTCAGAGTGACTATCTTGTAATGAAATTACTGAAGTAATTTGAAGTTGTTGGCATTAACCATACTGATGCACTTTTGATTTCCAGACAATATTTGCACAGTTTCAACACAGCCGAGAAAAAGCACTTCCCTCTGATAACATCAGGCATGCTCTTGCAGAAAGCTTCAAAGATGAACAGCGATTTCAACTGGGCCTTATGGATGATGCTGCAGAATGCTTTGTAAGTACCTGTGATGATTGCTAAGAGGCACAATGCTCTGTATTTTTCATGATTCCTGAGGCAGAAGTATCTCTGATGATCCCTAAGAGGCAGAGTGCTCTGTATTTCAGATGATCCCTAAAAGGCCACAGTAATAGTGTTTATTCCTTCCATAATGCAGATGCTGAGACAAATGAAAAAAAAATTTTTTTAAGATGGAAAAGTATCAGAACTGGTCAATAGGACCCTACCATATCCATCTATCAATTTAAGTCTATTTTGTGTAATATTTTTGCTTTGGCTTATTTGTGTAGTTTTTATGGCATCTTGGACAACAAAAATTTGTTAGGCCCAAAGACTTTAAAATTTTATCCCTTATTTCAGGGTTCTGTTTCCACAAGTCCTCCATGTGCACCCCAGACCCTGCTGTAGCATTTCTTTACGTGCAGTCTCCAGGTCAGGGGTTATGAGTAGAGGTTGGTGAGAACTCAGGAGCAGCAGCTTGACAATCAAGGCTTGGTGTTGCTAGGCCTGGTGTCACTGCTATACAAATCAATTTGGAATATCCCCTTGATACTTTGTCCTGCTTAGCTATGTATGTTGATTATTCAGTGTCTTAGTACTTGAAGAAACAGCTGTTTATTTTCTCTTGCTGCTGTTTCTACTTAGCAAATTAACTTCTTCTGTCACAAACCCTCTTACATTTTCTTTTTTGTCTTTTTTTGTCGGTCATGGAGCTTGAATTCTGGGCCTGAGCGCTGTACCTCAGCTCTTCAGCTCAAGGCGAGCACTCTACCACTTGAGCAACAGTGCCACTTCCAGTTTTCTGGTGGTTTTTATTGGAGATAAGAGTTTCACGGACTCTTCCTGCCGGGGCTGGCTTTGAACCATGATGCTCAGATCTCAGCCTCCTGAGTAGCTAGGATTATAGGCATGAGCCACCGGTGCCCGCCTACATTTTCTTTTTCATGTTATATCCTTACCTCCATTTCTTCTTACTTTAGTCCTCTGCTCTCAGCATCTGTAAGACTCCTGACTATTGTCCATCTGTCCTGTGCCTTTAGGGTCTCTAATCTGTCTGCCAGATTCACATATTTTCTTCTTGATGTTTGGTTGATCTTCCAAATATTGTGGTGATTCAAATCAAGACTTTTTATTCTGACCTCTAAGGCCCTTTTCTAGTTAAATTCCAATGTATCTCTTTGCTTCCTTCCTGAATTTTCCTTCATCGTGAGATAGTTGCCATTCTGTTTCTCACACATCTTTTGTATTTCTGCTTAACAGCCTTTGCTCAAGTTTCTGAAATACTCAAAACTTTTCAAACTACTCTTTTGTCAAGGATCAAATTAAGTCATTTCCATCAGGTAATGTATGACCAAACTGCCCTAGTTCGTTCCCTGGCTTTCCGTAGAATTCACTGTCTGTATGACATTATGCATTATTAGTAATCTTTTATGTAATGAGTATCTTTATGGTTTCCTTCTGAACTTGGAAAGCTCCTTGACTCTAGTACATTGCTTGGCATACTTCTGTATAGATTAGAATGTGCCAGTAGCAGCACATACATTCATACAATTCAGTTTTCATATTTTTTCTCTTTATGATTGATCTCTTGCTTAAAACATACATGTGCTTTTCCCAGTTCTGAAGTTTATAGTTTTACTTAGACTTAAATGAAATGTATTCATGTGTGCTAATTATACTTCATAAAATACCTTGACATCCAGACTTAAATAACAGTGATTTGAAATGTCTTGGTGCAGAGAAGGGGAAAGTTAATAAAAAGAATCCATTGGTTGGCTGACACAGTGGTTGCAGATCTGTAACCCAAGCTACTTAATAGACAGAGGTCTGGAGATGCTAGTTGAGGCCAGTACAGACAAAATATTAGCAAGACCCTGTCTAAGCAAACTAAGTGTGATAGTGCATATTTATAATTCCACCTACAGCAGAAGGCTGGGAGTAGGGTCATAGTTCAAGTCTGGCCTGGGCAAAAAGCAAAAACATAACTAAAGGGAGAAGGGCTGGGCTCAAGTAGTAAAGCACCTGACTAGCAAGTGTCAAGGCCCCAAGTTCAATCTCTTATTGCTAAAAAAATAAGAATAAAATAGAATTTATTGGTTAAACTCTGCTAAGAAAAGGTTTATTCAGAAATTGATTTTCCCTATTGGTCTGCATTTCAAATCTGAAATTGTCTGAGGTTTGTTAAATAATGCAGGACCCTCTTTGGAGTATAGTGTAAGTTTAGATATTTTAAGTTTAGCTATCATTTAAGTTTGGATATCATTGCTATTTTAAGTTTAGATAATCTAGTTGGTTTAAGCAGGATTTTAAAGAAGTTACTGTCTTTTTCTTGGTATAAGAATATAGGAAACTATTTTTCCTAATATTAATCTGTAGATATGAGCCCCTGAGGACTGGTTTGAGAGAGGATTTTTTAAATCTTCATTTTAAATCATATATTTTTTGAGAAACATTTTTTCTCTGTTATACTCTGAATTCATTACCTTGCAAAGTACTTTTTTGAACATAGTGTAAAATTAATGCTGATCACAGGTCCGTCCCCTAGCCCTGCTTTCATCCAATGTTTTGATACCTCGGTTGCATCTTCAAGTGAGCATATGACTTCAGCTTGAACCCCTGTAGCAAAGTGCAGCAGATTCTCTCTTCACGTTTCCATCTCATTGTCAGGCGGCTCTAGTAACATTAGATGTCTGCATCCTAAGCTAAGTTCTGCTTCTTTTTAATGACTATTTATTGCTTTGAGCTCTGACTAACAAGTCTCAAGACAAAGATAGGTATTTAACCAATCTAAGCATAATGGTCCTTCAGATATTTCAAGGGTATAACTAGGTATAATAGTTTTATTTTTAAAACTCTTTAAAAAGCTTTATTTTGAAAATTTTGAAGCGGTGGGCATAGAATATGAACCTCCATATCCTATAATGCACCTTTAGTAGTTATGAATGTATGACCAATTTTGGTTCATCTCTGTTTTCTTTCCCCAATTTTGCTGTACCCACAAGTAGATTTTAAAGCAACTCTAAGGTTATTTAGTTTTATCCACAACTAAGTTGATAAGTACCTCTACTAAGACAGGGTCTAAAAACAGTAACTCTACCGTGCCTGAAAATTAATTGTTCCTAATGTTGTTAAAATATCTAATCATGATTTTTTTTTCTGCTTATGGTAACTCCTGTTACATTATGTTTCTTGCATTAAACAGTATTTTTAGCTAGCACTGCAGAAAGCTGAATAGTTGACCATTTTAAGTGTTGATTACAGCAGAAAACTGAAAAGCAAATAGTACATGTAACATTCCTAAATGTACAGGTGGCAAAATGTTCAGTAAAGAAAAGATATGAAGTATTTTCTGCACAATCAGCAATTCATTTCTTCTTTTGTTTGTTTCTTTTTTTGAATTAGGAAAATATATTGGAAAGGATTCACTTTCACCTAGTGCCAAGCAGAGATGCAGACATGTGTACCTCTAAATCCTGTATCACTCACCAGAAGTTTGCTATGACCCTGTATGAACAGGTAAAGTGGCTTACTTATTTTTGAGACGCTGCTCATGCTTGGTGGACAGTGGACTAAATGTTTGCTTTTACCTGCAGTGTGTGTGTCGTAGCTGTGGGGCGTCATCAGACCCTCTCCCCTTTACTGAGTTTGTACGCTACATTTCTACAACAGCCCTATGGTAAGAATCGGCCAAGTGTATTTAACCCAGATGTTATTCACACACTTAAGCACATGGAGCATTTTTTTTCTGTAAAACAAGAACATGTAGGAATTTCTCCCCTTCACTGTTTGAGGCCTGCAAATACCCTTCTGAAAAGGGTCCTAGGAGATACCTATCTCAGTAGTCTGAATTGGTTGTATGTGTGTCATTTAACATAGGTTATCATTCCTTCCTTGTCTAAAGCACTCAGGAGGAACAGTGTTTTGAATTTCAGATTTGGGAATATTTGCATATTCATAATGAGCTCTTCAGGGGATGGGACCCAAGTTTAAAGTTTGTGTTCCGGGCTGGGAAGGTGGCTCAGTGGCGGAGTGTTTGCCTTGCATGCATGAGGCCCTGGGATCGATTCCTCAGCACCACATAACCAAAAAGAAAAAAAAAGCCGGAAGTGGCGCTGTGGCTCAAGTGGTAGAGCGCTCGCCTTGAGCTGAAGAGCTGAGGGACAGCACCCAGGCCCAGAGTTCAGGCCCCACAACTGGACCCCCAAAAAATATAAATAAATAAGTAAATAAATAAATAAAGTTTGTGTTCTATACATAACTTGTACATTTTGCCTGAAGGTGATTTCATGTTGTGTTTTAAAAGCACCTGAATTTTGACCGTGCCCCATGTGATCAAGTCAGGTTTGGAATTTTCCGTTTGTGATATTATTTTGGTGCTCAAAAAGTTTTACATTTCCGAGCATTCCAAACTTTAAAATGTCAGATTAGGGATGCTTAACCTGTACATTTGCAAAATGGACAAAATAGTACAAAATGGTGCAAATTTTCAGATTTTCTACTTAGGTATAGAATTTTGGAACTTGAAATGAGAGACTATGTAAATGGAGCTGTGGAAAATTTGTCTTGTTAGTTTGTAACACCATATTAGCTCCCCTCAGTCCCTTCACAGTGATAAAAGCTAGGATAAGCAGAAAAGAAAGAAAAAATTTGAGACATTCTTCCTTTTTCTGCCCTTTCTTCCCATCCCATCCCTCTCCTTATCTCCCCTGCCTTCCTCTCTCCTTCTCCATTCTCCTCTTCCCTCTCCTCCCCTGTCCTTCTCTTTTTTCCCTTCCTTTCATTGTATTTTTCTCAGTGCTGAGTTTTGAATTCAGGCCCTTACATTTGCTAGGAAATCACACTACTACTTGAGCCATATCTACAACCCTTTTTGCTTTCTTTCTCAGATAGGGTCCCATGCTTTTTTACTGTAAGCTGATCTCAGACTATGATTCTCCTACCTTTGCAGGATTAAAGGTGATAGCCACCATACCAAGCCCTATTTGTAAAGATTTTTGTGTAATAACCATTGTGTGGAGTTATTGTTATTCTAAATTTCAGTCAAGTGTAATCACCTGTTACTTCTTACTTTCAATTTATATGGCAGTCGGGATGATATTTGAAAAGGATAGCCAGCTGCAAAGTTTTAATCAGCCTGGGAAGGTAGAGGTCACTGAACCTTGAATCCTGTACTGCCCACGATTTCACTTTTTGAACCTTTCATTGGATCCTCATCAGACCCTCTTCTCTGTACAGTCTCCATTCATGGCTGTCTCCCACCCAAACTACCTAAGCCATGAACACACCTAAGTTTCAAGTCTCAGGGATTTACAGTCTTGAACAGTAGCACCTTCTCAATATGGCTGCTCCCCATAGCGCTGTGAGATATGTGGAGTGAGAAATATATGCATATATTTTTTTTCTCCAAAGTTACCTTGTCATACCAGAAAGCCCATAGACTCTTATCTCCAGTTGATCACCCAAAGGCCAGAAGTGAAGCTATGGCTCAAGTGGTAGAGCACTGGAAGACAAAAGCTTAAGGACAGTGCCTAGGCCCTAAGTTCAAGCACCACGACCAGTACAAAGAAGAAAAGAAAATAGGTTTTATGATCTCAGAAGACATTTCAGGGCTCAGAGCCCTTTGGATATTTCTAACATCATTTGCAGGCCATGCAAAATTATCAATATAGCTAAATGGTCTGTGCACAGCTGACAAGACACAAGCATGTCTGTTCTGTTATGTACCAAATGGTTTCAAGGCCCAGATATCCCTACCTTGTCTGGATGAGGATTACAATCCAAGTTGGATTGACTGCACTGTCGGTCTAGTTAACCAGTGCTCCCATGCTCCATTTTGTAAAACTATTCTGTGAAATGCTTTTTGAGATCATCAGATTTGGTGTGTTCTAACAGAAGTGTGAAGTGTGTCAGAGGATGCTTATACTTTTTGAATTCTATAGATAAACTATTACACTACTGAACATATCCAGGACAGTTACATTACTGTTGAGCAGAAGCAGGACTTCTAGACTGGCAATTTGTGTTTCAGCTTTCCTTTTGAAAATCTTTAAGTCATTGTTTAAAGGTTTCTAATGCCTTGAAGTGTACCAGTGGGACTCTTGGGAAAGTGAATAGAGTGACAGAGTTCCCCAGTAATGAATGCAAAATGCAGCCTCTGCTCTAGAACAATAATTGGCATGCGTAATAGGACCAAAGGCACAAGTCCATCTTGAATAACTTTGGCTGTGACTTCTGCACTTAATTCTAGAAGAAATCAAAACTTCTGAGAACTTTGAGCCAGAGAGAAAAAAACCTGTCCTACAATTTTTTTCCTCCTTTTTTCAGAGTAGAGAGCTCACATTCAAGTCTCTAATTATTAAGTAATTGAATAAAAGAATCATTTGCTTCATGCCTTTGCTTCAGACAGGACATATTACCTTCATTCAGGTAGTCCCAAACCAAAGCACAATTGCAGTGTTATTCTATACTTGTACTACATTTTCATCATATGCCTGCCAAACTTAATTTTTCACTTTATGTCGATTTATAGTTAATTTTTCAGATATAGTCATGTTTTAACCAGAAGAAGTGAGGCAGTCTATTAATATGTATTGATACTGTTTTCATGTGTAATTCATTAGACTTGTTTTTAAGTTCGTGGCCTATATTGAGACTGCTTTTTAAAAATTTTTTGGTAGCAATGAAGTTGAGAGAATGATGGAAAGGCATGAACGCTTTAAACCAGAAATGTTTGCAGAACTGCTTCAAGCAGCAAATACAACAGATGACTACAGGAAATGTCCTGTAAGTATACTTTGTTCTGCTCCTGAGCTTTGCTCTGGGCCTGGGCATTGTCCTTACGCTCCTTTTGCTCAAGGCTAACACTCTACCACTTTCAGCTTTGTCTGTAATTAATTGGAGATAAGAGTCTCATAGACTTTCCTGCAATAGTTGGCTTTGAATGGAGATCCTCAGATCTCAGCCTCCTGAGTAGTTAGGATTATAGGCTTGAGCCACCAGTGCCTGGTGCTTTCTGCTTTCTTAAAGGATGGATTCTTGTTTTAATAGATCTATAAAAATAACAATGACATACAAAGCAACAAAGAAATAATCTTATAAATATGTTAGAAACAATCGCATGAAAGAAAAAAACATTTGAATACATATCTTAGGGTTCATTTCCCTAACATCAACTTAACTGACCTTTTCTGCTTGACTCAGACATATACTAGTTATTGCAAATAAGGGAAACCATGGGACCTATGTTTCTTTGGGCCTGGCTTATTTCACTTAGTATAATTTTTTCCAAGCCTTTCCATTTCCTAACAAATGGGGCTATGTCATTCTTTCTGATGGAGGCATAGAATTCCATTGTGTATATATACCACATTTTCTTGATTCATTCATCTACTGAGGGGCATCTGGGTTGGTTCCATATCTTAGCTACAGTAAATAAGGCTGCAATAAACATAGTCGTGCTGGTAGCTTTAGTATGGTCTTGTTTGTGAACATTTGGGTAAATGCCCCAAAGTGGGATTGCTGGGTCATAGTGGAGCTCTATGTGGAGTCTTTTGAGGAACCTCCATAAGATTATTTTTTTGTTGCTTTGTATGTCCCTCCCCCACGGTATAATCCCTGGTTTCACTGTATTTGATGTTGTTATAATTTGTGGAGGGGAAGGGAAAAAACAAATCGTTTAAATAGGGATACAGGTGGACCCATTGCAACAATGAGACGTACAAGTCGTATGTCGAAAACGAACTTTACAACTTTGGTGGGGGGGGGGGAGGAGGGTTGGGTGGGGGCGCGGGGAGAGGATGGGATGGGAAGGGGAAACAAAGGAGGAGGTTACAATGCTTGATAAGAAATGTACACATAATCTTGCCCATGTAATTGTAACCCCTCTGTACAGTATTTTCACAATAAAAAAAAATAAAAAAAAAAAACAATGACTAATTTGTTTAAGCGACTGACTACTTACTGTTTAAGCAGTATTTAAGACAAGTAGCTAGTTAGAAGTCAATTTCTGATAAACTGAAGAAACACATTCCCAATATATCTTAAACTTGTTTTAACTGTGCAAAGCTTTACCTGTGGTAGATGTTTGGATAATTTCAAAACTTGCCTTTTGTGCTTTTCTGTAGAGTAACTGTGGTCAAAAAATAAAAATCCGCCGTGTTTTAATGAATTGCCCAGAGATCGTCACAATTGGTTTAGTGTGGGATTCCGAACATTCAGACCTGACGGAAGATGTGGTCCGGAACCTGGCAACACACCTCTATCTTCCTGGGGTATCTTAGCTGTTTGCATGCTTTTTTTTTCCTTTTATTTAAAAATTCTTTGAGATACTTTCATATGTTATAATACATGTAGCTTTTCTTTTCCAGAGCCTAATTTTTACATTTAATAATAATAATATTCAAGTGTTCTGTATTACAAGATGAATTTAATTAGACCAGGCTAAGTGGAATGCTTTTCCCATCATCTGTCAGTGAGAGACTATCTCATTATCTCTCACTCTGCAGTGATGATAATGACAGAGTGGTTTTTATACATGTGTATATATGTATTATGTATATAATACATACATATATATTGTACATGTATTATGTATATATATACATATAGCATTTCTCATAAGTATATATAATATTTAATCTGTATAAGTGTTTAAGATTTAGCATTAATTTGTAGTTCTGTTGATGTACTGAATTGTTAATGTTCTGAATTGATTTATATTACATTGGAGATTTTAGATATTGTCCTTTAGATAATAATCTAATGTATATTCACATTATGATTCAAAAGAGGAGTATCAGGAATATGTAACTGATGTCACATTTTGAGTATTTGTTACAGGGTATCAATCATGTGCCATTAGAGACACTGTACTACTTTACTGTTTTATAGTTAATTTATTCATTTTACGGGTCTTTAAGTTTTGTGGACTAATTAAAAGTAGAAATGGTAAGGGTTCAGTGTCAGCAGAATCTTCAGAAATAGCACCATGATACTGGGTTGGGAGCACTGTGCTTTTGACTGGTTTTCAATAAGTCAGACACATGATTCATCATACCACTGTTCCTCATGTTTTAAGATACAGTATTAAATGTACTTTGTTAATCTTTTGAACAGCTTTTTTACAGGGTTACTGATGAAAATGCCAAAAATAGTGAACTTCACCTTGTTGGTGTGATCTGCTATACCAGCCGACATTATTGTGCCTTTGCCTTTCATACTAAGAGTTCCAAGTGGGTGTTTTTTGATGATGCAAATGTGAAAGAGGCAAGTGAAACTTCCATTAACTGAAACAATCATTGTAACTTTTCTTTGTTCTTTAGGAATAAATGATATGCTAATAGATGAAATGATACACCTATATAAAGCTGCAATGAATGTAAAGATAAAATAGCCTCATTAAATCACAGGTTTTATTTTTGAAATTTGACTTCTTTTGAAGCCATTTTTAAGGCAAATCCATTTCTAGAATTGTTTTTTGGGGGCAGGAAACAGTGCTAGGGATTGAACCCAGGGCTTCACATAAGCTAGGCATATACCTCTGAGCTATATCCCAAAGCTAGAATAAAGAAAATGACTAAAAAGTGCATCACTATAACTATCAGTGATATTCCCTGTGTTCTGATCACTGTGGCTCTCTACACGTCCTTGTAGATGATTCGCAGTTGCTTTGTGTAAGCAATGATGATGCTTTTTTAAATGTATCTTTTTATTCAAAAAATAAAACTTACATGTGCTATAAAAAATTAGATACACCTGTTTTATCTTAAAATTTTTTACAAACATTTTTATATTGTAAAGAAAACTAGTAATTTATTGATTTTTTTTTTTTTTATGGCACTGACATTCAGACTTGGAGTCTTGCACTTTGTTTGAATTACCTAGTGCTTTGGTGTAGGAATTTTTTTTTTTGGGGGGGGGGGGTTGTCCGGTCGTGGGGCCTGAACTCTGGACCTAGGCGCTGTCCCTCAGCTCTTCAGCTCAAGGCTAGCACTCTACCACTTGAGCCACAGCGCCACTTCCAGCTTTTTTCTTTTTGCTTATGTGGTGCTGAGGAATTGAACCCAGGACCTACCTCACTCATGCAAGGCAAGCGCTCTACCACTGAGCCACCTTCCCAGCCCCTGGTGTAGAAATTTTTTGAGAAGTCCTTTCTTAAGTTCACAGGCAGCAAGGTTTTAGATCTCATACTTTGTATTTACATCGTTTAAATTGTCAAAATTTGGAAGAGGAATTAAGCATGTTAATCTGTGAGATTTTTTTTTTGTTTGCCAATTGATATATTTTCAGAGTTCTAGGCAAAGAAGGTAAATAACCCATATGTGTAGTTTAGAAAAGATTCTTGGGAGTTTTTCAAAAAAGGTATTTCCTTGCAGAAATCACCATATTAGAAGATTATGTGTTATTTGATTGGCTAGTTGGTTTTGTTTTTATTTTTAAGTCAATTTTAAAAAGGTATAATTTTGAAACATTAAAATGTACCATTTTGAGTTTTAATGAATATATACATGTAAATAACTATCATAATTAGTATGTAGAACTTTTTTTATTAGCATTGCTGGGATGGAACTCAAAAGCACACATGTTAGGCAAACATTCCAACACAAAGCTACACCCAGTCCTATATAGAGAATATTCTACAATCTTAGAAAAATTGTCTCCTGTGCTTGTGTTATAAGGTCTCCCTTCTTACCCTGAGCCAAGCAAATCACTGGTACTGCTATTTTGCTTCCTCAACACAATATCCATTTTTATTGTTACTTCACGTTATAGTAGTAAACATCCCTTCATCTATTGAGGTAAAAAAAAAGCATTTTTTTTTTATTGCTCTTCTAGTACTCAGATTGTGGTAAGGGATGTTCAACTTGGCAGGGAATGGCCAAATTCAAATTCATTTTCAGAGTAGTACTCATTTACCTCCCTACCATCAGAGTGTGAGAATTCCTATTATCCCACATACTCAGCAGCATTCCATGTCTACAGTCTTTTCACTTCTACCCCTGGTAGTGGATGTGTTCTAATATCTCACTGTGGTTTTGCTTTTCCTTTACACGTCATATACTTTTTGCAAGCATTTTTTTGAATGTGCATGTTGGCCATTATTGGTGTGTGTGTTTTGTGTGTGTATGTTTATCTAGTCAGATGTTTATCTAGTGTTGTAAATTGAATTCTCTTCTTATTTATAACTTGTAGCAATTCTTTATTTTGTTCACTATTCCTTTACCACATCTGTGTTGCTTATTTAGAACTATCATGAGATGATAAGCAAAACTCCATCATCCTCTTCCTTTCCATTAGGAGAGACTTGTGAATCATCTTTGCAGATGTTTTAAATACTGTAGACAAATTACTTAAAACTTAGGGAGTCAAACATCACTTAAGGCTTTCTATATACTGCTTTGTAATGCACCTAGAATTCACCTTTTAGTTATTGATTGAGCAAAGTTATTGATTAATTTTGAAGAAATTCATAAGTTAATTTTTCTTCTACAGTTTGTTTGGTATCCTTAGAAATTTTGCCTTCTTCAAAGTTGAAAGATTTTCTTCTATATTTTTGTAGATTTTAATGTAAGACTCATTTTGAGTTAATTTTTATGTTTTATAGGTAATGAGGAAAAAGTTATTTTTTTATTTTAGCTCTCCAGTTTTTCCAGCAACATTGTTATAGATTCTTATATTTCTTCACTGAATTGTTCTTGAATCTCTGTCAAGAGTCAGTCAACCAAGTATGTAGAACGCTTTTTTAAAAATTCTGTAATTAATCTCCTTATAGGAAGACTTAGCATTTTGCCCATAACTTTTTAAAGTTGTAACAATATGTGAATAAGATTGTTATTAGACTAGTTATTAAGTAAAAGTAACCATGTAATATGATAGTTGAACAGCTTGCATCTTGGTATTTAAAAATACTGAAATTCAGGTTAATTTGGTCTGTATAATGCATTGATTACCAGATTTTCACTTGTTTTTATTCATTGTGATTTTTTGTTTGTTTTAAGGTGGGAACTAAATGGAAAGATGTGGTCTCAAAGTGTGTCCGATGTCACTTCCAGCCTCTGCTTTTGTTTTATGCAAATCCAGATGGCACAGCTGTCTCTACCGAGGATGCGCTCAGGCAGATTGTCCACTGGTCACATTACAAATCTGTGGCAGAAAATATCGGTAATTGTTTTGTGTTTTTTTCCGTATTATTAAAATCAACTGGGAGTTGTTAAACTGAATATAAAAGTCAATGCTGAGAATAATTTTAAATTAAAAAATAATAATTTTGGCAAAATGGAATTCAGGAAGATTTTGCAGTAATGTTTGGTGACCTGAGAAGCACCTTTCATAGTCACATAGCACCAAAGATGCTGCTTGTCTGGTAACTCTTTTCAACAGTAAGCTTTGAGATTTTAAAATGGTTTAGTAAACTGTAAAAGTCTGAAGCAGCCAGGCTAATACTGGGTGCATTACAAGCAGCATGTAGAAAGCTTTAAGTGATGTCTGACCCCCAAGTTGTAAGTAATTTGTCCATGTATTTAAAACATCTGCAAAGATGACTCACAGGTCTCACCTAATAGAAAGGAAGAGGATGATGTGGTTTTGCTTATCATCTTTTTAAGGATTTGAAAAGTCTGCAGTTTATAAAGCCGATAATTCCAAAGAAAATGGATTCAATGATCAAGCAAAACAGAAGGAAAATCAAAAACTTCAAACCAATAACCTTCCATCATTCAGTCGGAACCACATTCAGACAAGCGGAGGGAGAGGACCGGGTTTGTGTTTAAATTACTATTTACATTGTCCTTAAGCAGTGCTTTTTCTGCAGTTACTAAACCCAAACTTGTATGGGTCAGACCCATACAAAAGGAGGATGTTTAACTAGCTTTTCTTGATACCAGGAAAAGAAAATGATCTATTTTTTGTGCCAGTCCTTGGGCTTGAATTTGGGGCCTGGGTGCTGTCCCAGAGTTTTTTTGCTTAAGCCATGGCTCCACTGTCAGCTCTTCTTTTCTTTTCCTTTTTCCTTCCTTCCTTCCTTCCTTCCTTCTTTCCTTCCTTCCTTCCTTCCTTTCTTCTCTTTCTTTTTTTTGCTCTTTCTCTCTCTCTCTTTCTTTCTTTCTTTCCTTTCTTTCTTTCTCTCTCTCTCTCTCTTCTTTTCTCTTTCTTCTTTTCTTTTCTTTCATTTTTGGTGTTTAACTGGTGATAAAAGTCTCATGAACTTTCCTGCCTGGATTGGCTTTAAACTGAGATACTTAGACCTCAGCCTCCTTGAGTACCTAGGATTACAGGCTTGAGCCACTGGTACCTGAGAAAATAGTCTTTTGATGAATGTGATTCAGTGAGAGTTGACTAATGGGATTTGACAAGTTGACTTTCCTTGTGCACTCTGACCTGTTATAGGACTTATGCTATGTGTTGATTGTTGCCAAAGAAAGCTATAATGGATTTTCCTTTGGGAAGTTAATAATCAACTTAGAAAAACATGTTAATAAATTTGGCTTATGTGCCAAAATTCATCTTTCATGAGTACACCAGTAATTGGTTCAAAATTGCTTTACCTATAGTTTGTTCTTAACCTCATTTTTTTATTCAACTCCTGTTATTGTCATCCCATGACTTTCTAACGTTCACAAGTCACAACATGAGATATCTTAGTATTATATTACCAGCAATTTTTTAAAATGGTACTTAGATGATATCTAACCATAAAGTAATCTGCTTAGTCAAGAACATTAAGAGCCAGCCAGAATGAACAATTATTAACAAAGAACTGCAATAAAGATTTACATTAGTGCTGAGTTGTAGCTCAGGTAGCTCATTGAAGAGTACTTATCTAACATCCACAAGCTCTAGGTTCAGTCACCAGCACTGTAGAGAAAGAGAAAAAAAAATTCATGAAATGCTGTATTTTGTTTTTTTCTGTCTTATATAAGAGCTGTTAATATTGTCATTCAATTAAGAAATTTTTTATTTGTCAGAGATGCTTACTTTTAAATACAGAAGCAGTATGTATGCTTTGGAACAAGAGAGCTGGCTTCATTTGCCCAGTTCTACATTTAGAAGCAGTGTATACTTGAGCTTGTTTCTAAAGCCCCAGTTTCCTTACCTGAAGTGTAAATAATCATTGTACCCATCTTAGAGACAGTGGCAACAGTGGTTGGTAAATAGCAACCATGCAGTGACTGTTACCTCTTACTGCTTTGGCAGCAGGGTTCTTTCTGTTCCCAACATGCTTTAGGGATTAACAACAACCACATTCCCAGTGCAAGGAAAACACCATATTGCGATCTAGTACACATTAAAAGAAGTTCATTATATACTTTATGTTGCTTTTTAAAATTATAGAGGTATTCTACACCCTTGTATGAATAATTTTTTTTAACAGTTAAATTAAGCCACAGTGACCAGAGGGAAAAGATAAAGGACATTTCCAGAGAATGTGCTCTGAAAGCCATTGAACAGAAGAATTTACTTTCTTCACAAAGGAAAGATTTAGAAAAGGGACAAAGGAAAGATGTAGGCCGACACCGAGGTAAGTTCAGAGCATTTACTTGAAATTCATGTTTTTCATGGAGTTTTATAGCTTTAATGTAATTAAATGTTATATTTTATGTACTTACACCTTTCTCAATGTTGTTTCTTCAATACACTTACAATAAATCGAAAAATACAGATTTATTAGATTTGTTGGATAAATAGATTTTTATTAGATAAATTAGATAAATGTTTTAAATTTTTAGTTTTTTAGATAAAATAAGTTTAAAATAAATATAATAAATGTAAACAATTGCCAGGTTCCCACTTAATTCTAACCTGGGATACTAGTGTGTGCATTTTGATATTTTCACTTACCTTTCATTTATTAATACAGTGGGTTCATCTGGTCTACCCAGGTTCATTCCTGGGTATAGAAGGAAGTGATGAGCTTCTTTCCATTCAGCTTCTGAGTTTCCCTAACACGGAGCTTCTCAGTGTATCCTAAAAATGACTTTCTATAGTTTCCTGCCTTTTTGTGGACATGGTGTAACTGATCTCGTAGCCTTTACACACTGACCTAATATTTTTGCTGCAAGGATACCTTTCACATACACCTCTGAATATTTTTTTTCTATGTACAAGAATAGCATAAAACTCTTTCAGAGAACTTACTGAACAGGGCTTGTTTATTTCTACTTTTGATTTAGCTCTGAAAGACTAAATGAGCCTGTCCCACCACCGTGACCGTAGGACTACTTCAGCACTAACTGGACTTAGCAAACTGAAATCTTTAACAACCTAAAACATGAAGAACACGTGATATGTACAGGGATTTTGTTAGTTATGAGTGAAATAGCATGTTTATTTTAAAAAAAAAACACTTTCAGGGCTGGGAAGGTGGCTCAGTGGTAGAGTGCTTGCCTTGCATGCATGAGGCCCTGGGTTCGATTCCTCAGCACCACATAAGCAAAAAGAAAAAAGCCAGAAGTGGCGCTGTGGCTCAAGTGGTAGAGCGCTAGCCTTGAGCTGAAGAGCTGAGGGACAGCGCCCAGGCCCAGAGTTCAGGCCCCATGACCGGACCCAAAAAACAAAACAAAACACTTTCAGAGATAAACTTATAACTTAGAGATGCTTTTTAAAAGTCCATTTCATTTATAAAGGCCTCTAATTTAGTATAAGTAGGGACAGATAAAACACTTTTCAAAATCAAGACAGTACTTGATACAATTTAATTTTTTTTTTTTTTGCCCAGTAAAAAAAAAAAAATTTTTTTCAAGCCTAGTACTGGGCCTTGAACTCAGGACCCTACCCTGCCCCTTAACTTTCTTTTCTCAAAGCTAGTGCTTCTACCATTTAAGCCAAACCTATACTTCTAATTTTATGGTAGTTAATTGGAGGTAAGAGTCTCATAGGCTTTCTTGCCTGGGTTGGCTTTGAGCCTTGGTCCCCAGATCGCAGCCTTCTGAGTAAGTAGGATAACAGATCTGAGCTACCAGCACCCAACAAATTTAGTTGTTTTTTTTTTTTTTTTGTTATTATTGTTTACCTATGCTACTTAGCATTTCTTCTTACACAAGTTGTTCAACTTATGACTACCAGGTTGCTCTGAGGAGTGGTTCTATTGTATCTTTAATTATTATTATTACTGTTTTTAAGATTTGATGGATGAAGACCTCTCACACTTGAAGTCTGGATCACCTTCTGCCCCAAATGGTTTCAGGCAATGTGGGAATCCACATCTTTATCATAGTCAAGGAAAAGGACCCATCAAACATGACCGGGTTGCACATCAAAGTCGAGCTTCTGGACAAACAAGTTCAGGCAAATCCCACATTCTTAATCCAGGAGAGAAAATACTAGGCCGTGTTAAGAGTGACAGTGCCACTGGATATGACACAGACAGCAGCCAAGATTCCAGGGAGAAAGGAAGCAGCTTCAGTAGCAGTAAAAGCCGGAACCGAGGTTGGAAACCTATGAGGGAAACGTTAAATGTCGATAGTGTTTTTAGTGAGAGTGAGAAGAGGCAGCATAGCCCAAGACACAAGGCATGTCTCACCAACAAACCTAAATGTGGCAAAGATCAGAGTTTGAATAACTGGCCCAAAGAAAATCCGAAGCAGAAAAGCTTAATGACCATATATGAAGATGAAATAAAGCAAGAAATAGGAAGCAGAACTTCCCCGGAGTCAAATGGGAAAGCACAGAAGGCAAAAGGCCTCGTGGAGGGTAAAGGTCCTGGTGACAATTGGCAGATGCAAAGGACGGAGTCTGGGTATGAAAGCAGTGACCATATCAGTAACGGGTCTGCGAACTTGGACTCACCCGTCATCGAGGGAAGTGGTACAGGAATGGATACGAGCAGTAGTAAAGAATTGGCATCCTCCAGGTAATCCATACTCAGCATCCTCTGCCTAACTGAAGTAATCTTTTAACTTTGGGCTCCTTTATGTATAATGGAAACATCATGAGCTTAGAGTAAAGAAACATGGAGGTTGTAGTTTATTCAATATTTCAGATATCCTGTTTTTGTTGTTGTTGTTTTTAAATCAGTTCTGGCTGGCGCTGGGAAGGTGTCTCAGTGGTAGAGTGCTTGCCTTGCATGCATGAGGCCCTGGATTCGATTCCTCAGCACCATATAAGCAGAAAAAGCCTAAGTGACACTGTGGCTCAAGTGGTAGAGCACTAGCCTTGAGCTGAAGAGCTGAGGGACAGTGCCCAGGCCCAGAGTTCAGGCCCCACAGCAGACCAAAAAAAAAAAAATCCTTGGGTGTTTTTGCTCAAGTTAATGCTCTACCACTTTGAGCCGCAGCTCCCCTTTTGGTTTTCTTGTGGTTATGTGGAGATGAGTCTCATGGAGTTTCCTGCCCAAGATGACTTTGAAATGCAATTCACAGGTCTCAGCCTCCTGAATAGTTAGAATTACAAGTGTGAGCCACCAGCACCTGTCCTGTTCCTTGACTCTTAACAGTAGCAACTGGTTTAATTTCTTCAGAAATTTGAAAAGAACAGGGGCATATTGCCATGGTTTCCATAAGTATCAGCCACTGATTTCTATTCCAGGTTTGAAAGTGTAGACATATATATCTCATATCAGTTTTCTGCAATCTGTGTGATTCATGATCTTAGATTTGTGTCCTATTTTGTATCTTAATATTAAGTTTATTACCTATGGTCACCATCCAGTTCTGTGGAAGAGATAGTGTTCTAAATATTTAGTAAAAACAGAAGAATTCAAATGACTAAGTTTGTATTCAGTTAATTCCGAATATGTGAACTCATATTACTGTTTGCAATAATTTTTGACTTCTGTGTGATCTCTAAAATATGTGCACAGCATACTAGCTAATTTCCTCAGTCAATCTTACCACTTTTTTAACTCATAGTCCTCCTAAAATATTTTAACTTGATATTAGTTGATTCTTGACCCCATTCATTTTTAAAAGGCTAGATTTGCAAAAGAGAGCTGGTCATATTTTATTCAAATTAGTTTCCATAAAGAATTAAAGAAGCTTTTTTTTGGCAGTGTAATCTCATCACACTTCTTAAAAGCAAGTAGCCTGCAGTTATAGAAAGAACAGGACTTTGTAAACAAATAGATTTGAATTTTAATTATTGGGCAAATAAATTTGGCTTTCAAAGTTTTACTCTCGTATTGTGAGGTGAGGATCAAATCTACTTTTAAGTATTGTGAGATATGAATGTAGATACAGTAAGCTGTAAACAGATATTTCCCTTTACTTAGAATAAGACAGTCCATAATAGCTAATGTGTTTCTATGTGTTTTCTTTTAATTTCTAGTGATCGAGTTAGGATGAATAACTTGAGTACAGGACTTGGGGACTGTACCTCCCATCCCAGCAAAAACCACTCAGAAGGTAAATATTCTATTCTAAATATGCTATAATAGTCGCTAGTAAGAAATGAATTACAGGGGCTGGAAGGTGGCTCAGTGGTAGAGCGCTTGCCTTGCATGCATGAGGCCCTGGGTTCAAGTTCTCAGCACCACATAAGCAGAAAAAGCCAGAAGTGGCGCTGTGGCTCAAGTAGTAGATTGCTAGCCTTGAGCTGAAGAGCTGAGGGACAGCGCCCAGGCCCAGAGTTCATGCCCCACAATTGACCAAAAAAAAAAAAAAAAAAAAGAATTACAGTAATTTCTTGTTTCGTATTATGTTGTTCATAAGACACCCTGTGAATGTGAAAATAACTTTAAAATATCAGTAACTGAATTTTCTTTTTACGTTAATATGTACATCTTGTAGTAAAGTATAGCAAGTGATCAGCCATTTTGATATGTATATTAGTTATACTTTTCATGTCTACTTCACAAAATTATCATTAGTTTTGTATTTCACTTTCATGAAATGTGTTTTTTTAAGTTTGTAACCTTTTATTATACAGCATATACATAAAGTGTGCTTTGCATATATAGATACATATGTACATATACATGCAAAGCACATATATATGTATATAAGGCATATCTATATAATTATATATACATAATATAATGTTACTAATAGCTTTATAATGCTTACTTTTTTCAGTTGTTGAACTCTGAATCTTTTTTCCCCAGTAGCAGCTTGCGTTTCTACTTGAGAGACCCTTGGGCAATCACAATGGTTTTTATACTAACCCTAACAACAGTGAATTGGGACCAAACTAGGCAGGAATATCTACCTGTGGCATCTTGCTCACACTTACTTTAACTTAAGAGGTGGTACATTTCTATATTTGCAAAGAAAAAGGTCATATTCTCATAGTTCCTAACCTGCTCTGTAGATTATTGGCTTTTCTGGAATTGTCCCTCCTCCCCCATTTAAAAAAAATAACAGAGCTGTGAAATAGGCACAGAAAATGTGGGTTGTTTTTTTTCTGAAGTAAGAAGAAAGTAGATAAGAATGGTCCTTTTACTGATAGTTCACGAGTAATTCATACTTGAGGAAAGGAAGTTGGGTTCATGCTCAAAAAGTTTTTAAAGGATGGGAAGAGCTACTTCAGGTAGTGAGAGGAGAAGATTGGTATCAGCTGAGGTAAATAACAGAATCATAACAACTTCCAACATCAGTGTCTTTTTTGTTGTTGTTTTGGGTTGTTTTTTTTTAATGATCCTGGGCTTAAACTTAGGGCTGTCTCGGCTTTTTATTTAAGGCTGACACTCTTACATTTGAGCCAAGTTTCCACTTCTGGCTTTTTGATGGTTAATTGGAGATGAGTCTCACGAATTTTTCTGCCCAGCTTGCTTTTTGAACTGCATATCCTCAGATCTCAGCCTCCTGAGTGGCTGAGATTATAGGCGTGAACCACCAGTGTCTGACCAAGGTCAGTGTCTTACCACAAGTTTTTTTCTTGTTCACAGTACCTGTCCAGCAGCAGTCAGGATGAAGCATCTTTTTAGGTGTCAGGGAAAGCCTACAATGGGGTGGTAGTGGTAAGGACTTGATGGAGGATCCAACATAGAAAATAGGTTCAAAGCTCTTACAGCTTCATAGCATCACTGACACATTCCCTTCTACTCACACCCCCATTGTCCATGACAAGTCTTTACTCAGAACTAATCTCAAGGACTGCGGGAACTTGCAGTTTCACAAAAGCCTCTAAGGGAATCCAAGTATGTGTGAATAACTCCAGTAATTACCCTAGGGTTTAGCACATACCTAAAGAGAGACTGATAACACAACTTCCCAGAAAAGTTTAGCTGGGAATAATACATGTGTAGGGGTGTGGCATTATTATAGGTGGTTAGCTACCAACACACCACAGCCTGTCAACAAAGCAGACTTTTTATTTAAATGTGTACAGGATTGTGACTGGAAGGAGGTTGGGGTTGGAGGCATGGCATCAGATACAGAGTTCAAGTTCTAGTCTCTGACAACAACAAAAGAAAAAGATAAAGGAAAGAGGTACTGAGAAATTTGGGAGGAGAGAATCAACAAAGAGGTTATCAAAAAACAATATTTTCAGCTGGGCACTGATGACCAATGCCCTGTAATACCAGCTACTCAGGAGGTTGAGATCTGAGGATCTTGGTTCAAAGCCAACTTGGCAGGAAAGTATCTCCAATTAACAACCAGAAAACCAGAAGTGGCACTGTGGCTCAAAGTAGTAGAGCGCTAGCTTTGAGCAATGCCCAGGCCCTGAGTTCAAGTCCTATGACCAACAAAAGGAACAAAAAGAAGAAACAAATTAAAAAACCCCAATATTTTCAAGTTTTAGAATTCAGAGGAAAAAATAGCTTATGAATAGGGAAGATTTTTAGCCTTTATCATCTTTGAAGAGATTATTTTTCAGGTTGCAGACATTGAGGGTGACTATTATTTTGTTCTCAACAAATGTATAATATCAGAAGGAAACACTTAGATTAAGGAAGTAACTTTCCTTTCCAATATTAAAATCGCTTGCCTGTTTGAAAAATCTGATAAAAGTCAGTAACCAAGTATTACAGGAAAGAGTAAAGGCTTGGCCAGAAATCACAGATGAAACCCAGGAGATTGAACAATAACTGCAAGCTAAGTAAATGGTTCTTGCTTCCTGATCTTTGTAAAAACACAAGGTCATAAAGACTTTCATGGTCAAGAGTGCATTGCTATCAAGAGCTTCTCAGTGGGTGTTTGCATTTAGTATAAAAACATAGGTACATAATGCATTTAATTTTTTTTATCTTGTGATAAAATATATATAACCAGATTTATCACTTTCTCCTCCTCTTCCTTTTTCTATCTCTTTCTCCTCTTTTTCTTATTATCATAACCATTATTTTTGAAACAGGGTCTTACTATGTACCCAGAATTGCCTCAAACTCACTGTGTATCCTGGGTTTGTCTCAAACTAACAATCTTCCTGTCTCACCTCCTGAGTGCAAGGATTACAAAGCTGTCACATCCAGCTCATTCTAATTAAAGTTTGCAGTTTGATGACTTCTCATTGTTGTATGACCGCCATCATCGAACTTCAGCATTATTTTATTTCTCAGACAGAACTACTTATTAAACCACTTACTCTCCTCTGCGCCCAAAACCTGGTCACTAGTCCTCTTCCTGTCCCTGAGCTTTAGTGCCTCATGTAGGTGAGATCATACAATAGTTATCCTGTCTGTATCTGGCTTTATTCCACTCGGCATACTGACCTCACAAGCCATCCATGTTGTAGGACATTGCAGAGCTTCACTCTGGCTTATTCATCTCCTCATCTGGTGATAACACGGGAGTGTTGCTACTTTCTGCCTGTGGTGAACATTGGCTTGCAAATTTTTGCTCAGATCTTTGCCTTTACCCAGCTGTGCAGTTGCCAGACCCTGTGCCTGTTCTTTGTTTCATGTTCTAAGGAACCATCACATGGTTTTTTTTTTTGGTCGGTTGTGGGGCCTGAACTCTGGGCCTGGGCGCTGTCCCTCATCTCTTCAGCTCAAGGCGAGCGCTCTACCACTTGAGCTACAGCGCCACTTCCGGTTTTCTGGTGGTTTATTGGAGATAGGAGTCTCACGGTCTCTCCTGCCCAGGCTGGCTTTGAACTGCGATCCTCAGATCTCAGCCTCCTGAGTAGCTAGGATTACAGGCGTGAGCCACCAGTGCCCGGTCTATCACATGGTTTTTGACAGCAGCAGTATGCTGTTGCATCCAAACAACAGCCCCCATCTGTCTGTCTTTACCAGTACTATTATGGTTTGTTTGTTTGGTTGGTTGGTTGGTTGTTTCAAGTCTTTTATAATGGCTTTGGGTAACCCAACTATGTAAAATACATTATTTTTAAGTTTTTTTTAATTTAATAAACTACATAGTCTCCTGTGCTTTTCTATGCCATTCTTTGCCTTTAAGACTCTTTTCTTCCTTAGTCTAGGACTGGGAAAATGTGGAAAAGCAGTACTTTTTAAAGAAAATTACGAAATTGCCCTGTGTTCCTAGTCCCTACCACCCATTGTGAAACAAAATTTAACCTTTTTGACTTGCATGTACTTCTTTCAGTTCTCTTCCATTTCTCATTCACAAACCCAAGTGTACACTAGCATTACCCGTTCATAGAATCATTTTCTATAAGGAACTACAAGACTTTAGATTTCTTTTCTTTCCATATACTGTTTGACACTTCAGGGTTTTTAGGGGAGGGGCAGCAGTGCTAAGGAATTGAACATAGACCCTTGCCTAAGCTACTGCTGAGCTATATCAACAACAAGCATTATACAAGTCTATACAAGTACATTTGATGAAAAAAAACCAAAATTTATAATGATGCTATTGTAATGGTTTTGTTTTTATCAACAATAGAGATTTCTGTGTATGCTTGTCTGCCTGCGGCACCGCTCTCACGCTGCCTAGAGCTATTTGGAGGACATACTGTGAAATTGCCGTCACACCATTGGAAATGTTGGAGCTCTTCTTTTAGTGAATTTCTAATGAAAGGAATTGCAAATGCCTTATATTGCAAGAAGTTAGAAGCGGTGTGACTGAAGAAATGACAGGCTCAGAAGCACATGGGGAGGAGCAGGCGGCACCTTCTGATGCACGGTAGTCTGGCAGGTGTCAGCTGGCATGGAAACTTGGGTGTCAAGAAGTGATGCCAAGAGGAATATAGAAGCCTAATGACAGTGAAACTTTGTGCTGTTTTTTAGTCCTACAGGAAGTAGAGAGGCATCAAAGAACCAGGAGAGAGGCGTACTCTACAACTTAGAAAAGACAATGACAGTATTAGAGGATACATTTTGAGTAGTAGGAAAATACTGAGTTAGATGACTATTAAAACCTAGAAGAGAAAGGATGAGGGCATGGACTAAGGCAACACAAAGGAAAGAGATATAAGGGAAAGAGAACCCGTTGAGAATCAGTTGGTTTTTGTGTCAGACTTAGGAATAAGGAAAAGGAAGGAAACAGGGACGGCCATAATT